TTACATTCTGTTTTGTTTGATGTTTATAAAAAATTGGTGGATATAAATCCATTAGGAAAATATTTGTTTGTATTAAATTGACATTTAATAACATTTTTGTGTTCAGTAAAGTGTTTTCTAATATGAAATATCCAGGTACGAAATATTTGCCTCTGTTTGTGTCAAGGAAATCATCTTTATTATCACAGTGCAGGTGTTTGTATTTGATTGATACTGAAGAAAAACAAAACAGTAACAAGTGGGAAGTTTTCAAGGATTATGTTTTAATAAAATTTGAGTTTCAAATAGGAATATTTTGTTGATGTTTGAGTGTGATGTTGGTTAACTTTGGAAGGAGAGTAAAATTCGAATGTATGTACTAAGTGGTATTCTTGTTGTATGGTTTTGGATATTTTGGAGACTATAGTTTCTTTTATTCATCTTTCTGTCACACTTTACATGTACATACTTTCCTACAATGTACCTTTATTTATTGACAGATGTCTTAGTGTGTTGGTACCTTCCGTGTACTTTGACCCTTTTGTTGGGCTTCTGGTTGATAAAGGGTCATGGTCATCAAGGCTGAAAATACATATTTTTTTTTCTATAAATAGATTCTAAGTGACATTGGGAAGCATCCATTAGTGTACGGTGTACCAATAGTCTTGTCACATTTGGCTTTTGCAAGGTTGGCTACTATTTCAGTGTCTGTTTTTGGATTTGTTTACCATCACCAGCGGAAAAATAACCATGATTATATTTATTCCTTTAGTCATGTACAATGGCTAGCAAATGTGACATAAAAAAATCATGGACATTTATTTATGATTGATTGACATTCTCTTTGATTTTGTCCTGTTTAATTATTAGTACATAAATTTAGGATCTTCCGCAAAATGCATAAATTAAGGTATCCGAACAATTCCCCTCCCGGACGATTCCCCTCCCAGTAAATTTGAATGTTTTTTCACAACCCGGACATTTCCCCTCCCGTTTTTATTTTACGGAGGACAATTCCCCCCCCCCCTGTTCTTTCATCAACCCGGACAATTCCCCTCCCATTCTTTTAACAACCTGGACAATTCCCCTCCCGCTGTTGTCAGAGCGGACAATTTCTCTCCCGTGGCTTTTGAACATATAAATTATATATAATATTGTTTATTTGAAAGGTATTTTTAATCGGCTTTAAATACATTTTGCTTGTCTATATTGAATGTAATTTACATTTGATGCTATTCTCTTGTGGGCACTACATGGCTCATGTGGGCACTACATGGCTCATATATTTATATTTTGTCGTATACTTATGTCATGTGATATTTCTAGTCTCTTTAATATTTTGATTATTGTTATATGTATTGTATCATTATGCATCATTATGTCATTGCCATGTCATGTACACCTTTACCGAATAAAATTATTATTATTATTATTATTATTGTCTCTAGGGCGGACGTGCGAATGGTATATCCACAATTTTGTGAAATAATGATTATTAAAAGTTCCGATCTTTAACAGTTTGTTGTTAAGAGTAAAAACTGTCATCTTTAATAAGAATGGTTACAGATTTTTTATAAGCAGTGGCGGCTATGATTAAGGGTCGTATAGTGTCACGTTCTGCTCTGTGAAAAAAATGGGAGAGGCATTGTCCGCTCTGCCAAAATAACGGGAGGGGCATTGTCCGCCCTGTAAAATTAACGGGAGGGGGAATGTCCGCCCTATTAAAATAACGAGAGGGGAAATGTCCGGGTTGTGAAAATAATATGAAAGGGGAATCGTCCGGGATTCTTCTAATTCATAAATTAATGATGTCCATATTTTGTTTTGTTAATGAAATTTAGGCAAGCATTTTTCATTTTTAACTGGTAATTTGTGAAATAGTTCTCTTGATTTGTTTGAAATGACATACATTTAGTCATGCAACCTCATTTTATGAACTGTTCACCTAAAATTTGATTATGGGAAAATTTGATGGAGAGGGTTGAAATTGGTGTCAATTAAACATGCTGAAGGTTAATAAGTGGTCACCTAATTAACACATTTACATGATTTTTGTTAAAGTTAATGCAGGGTCATATTCGGACATAGACATTCGTCTTTCTTATTCTATACACACATTCAGCAATGCATTCAGCTCATATGTCAATATTTTGTGTACAAACAAGACCTTATGCTGGATTTAAATAGACATTATTTTCAATATTTATTTTTCTCACTTTCCTGAAACTATACAAGGTTTGTACAACAGTGTGCAAACACTAGCTGTTAAATACCGAAAGCTTTGACTTATTTGAAGGGGAGGGGGAAAAGAAAACACACAAAAAACCAAAACCATCATGAGTTTCAAGAATTTGGGAAACAGTTCAAACTTTGAATGTACATCTACATTGTGAAGAAATTTTAAAAAAAATAAAGAAGAAACTTTTTAAAAAATCAACAAGGTAGGACAACAACAACATTATATCAACATATAAATATGGGGACAACAATTTTTAATTATAGTGAAAGAGTTAAAATTTTGGATCTATTGGAGGAGAATTTCAATAGTAATAGATCAGTTTGAAACCATAATTATAATGTATTATTAAAACAGTGCACAATTTTCTCTCAACATGGGGAATTGAAACACAGGATATAAGGAATTTTAAAGTGTAAATGCGATATGACAAGATAATATTATCAGGATTAAAGAGGGTGTTGGGACGTATTATGATAGTGTATAATTTTAAAGTCACTTCTCAGATAAGCTTTGAGGTTTAATATGACTGCATCAGCAGTTTTTTTTTCTCTCAATATTTTGGGACTTTGACCTTTGACCCTAAGGATTAGGATTGCTTAACCCTTTCTATGGGCTAAATGATTTAAATTGATTTGTCCATCTTTCAATGTGGACAAAACCATTCATCATTTTAAGAGGAAATTTTAAAATATGTACATGTATTGACTTTTAAGGGAACAGAGCAGACCATGGATTTGCTGACTGATATTGGTCTGCAGTGGGTGCATGGGCATAAAAAACTGCCACTAAAACAGACTCAAAGTCTAAATGGTAAAAAATTGGTAATTTACACCTGGAATGCATGGTTGCCTAGATTATTTTTTAGTCTTGTCTAATGATGAATAACAGCTAACAAAGTATGTTTTTTTACTTTAGAAGAATTGAACTGATTAAGTTTTGTCCAAGAATTGGGAAAATAATAATTATTTTCAACTGGGAATACAATAAGACACAATATTGGTTGTTAAATTAGCCTCCCAGAAAATAAGAGTCCCAGGGCATGTTTAAAGTAATGTTCCAGGATTGAAGACATTTGGGAATGTAATATTGTTATCTTTTGATGTTATCTTTTATCATCACAGGAAGTTACTGGTAGTTTAATTAACTGATAATTTTGTGATAATAAAAATAATATTTCTCACCTTTTTATTTAAATCAGCTTAGATCTACTTATATTGTTGACAGGCATTGTTAAAAGAAATATTTGGAATTTTAACAAGTACTGGTACTTAAAAAGATGTTTTTAGAAATTGTTTGAGAATTTAAAGACATGGTGTGAAATGCTTGGTTTTTATATTGTGTTAAACCAGCATGTTGTTTGTACAGTACATCTACTGTACTATGACAGAATCAATTGGATTCTTAAAGACTGTTAGGTGTTTTCAATAATAGTGAAATTAATTGTGACTTTTATAATATAGTTATAGATTTTGTTAAAATTTAATGAAAAAGTTATAAGTGGTGACAAGTGGTTGTTTAATGGAAGTCAGCCAGTGATTAAAGTAATTGGTACTTTTAAATTCTCTAATAGTTATTTAGGGATTTGATAAAAAATCTATAGGTAAAGGAAATGTAGGAGTGTTCTTTTCCGCTTGACTAAAATGGAATTTAATGAAACATAAGGAATGAGATATAAATCATTTAAAAGTGTAAAATGGTGTAGTTTTTTGAATATCTTGTCCTTTGAAGTGATGTATTTCCGTGTTTCTGAAATAAAGATGTCAGAATGTGTGTGAAAATTAAAATGTAATATGAAATTTGTGCTGCAGCCAGCATAATTCTGTTTTAAGTTTTAAAGTTTTGGCGGTTTTATCTGTTATCTCTTTCTAACATGCATTCATGAAAAAATATAATTTTGTTGGAATTACATTAGATTTTGGTAAATCGTTTATAAAACATGTTTTTGTTTGTTTCATGTTAACTTATCTATCAAGTATTTTAAGTTTGACTGTCAGTAACGCATATCTTTTGGAATGGATAAATTGAAAATTACAGTTAAGTTGTTTAAGAAATATTTAGATTTTTATATATCTTCTCTTTGATTTTTATATCTTTTTCATTTTAATTCCAGATTTTTTGTTAATCTCGAGCAGCGATGATGTCACGAGGTTACCAGGGTTACCGTGAGGACTCTTCGGTTTCCGACGCTGTATTTTCCGAGGAAGAGAGCGGGTATCAGGACTATTACTCTCCAAATAACTATAACTACAACCATAACAACAATGTGTTCAGCCCGAATTCATCTGTGACCTCATTTACGGATATTTATTCGCCAAGAAATATAAATACATCTGTGACTTCATTATCTGAGTATAATTCTTCTTCACGGAATATAAATACATCTGTGACACCATTAGGTGATTATAACTCGCCAAGGAATAATAACGCTAGAGAATTAAATTCTCCCACAGTGTCTAACTATAGTACATATTCACAGGAAGTTAAATATATTTTTGACCCAAATTTTGGTATGCAGCAAAGGTCAAGGTCACACTCAAGTGTAAAAATGCAATCAACACCTTCCCAGTTTGAACCCATTGACCCTTCAGGGAATTCAACAGAGGATGACTACTCACAAATCCAATACCCAAATAGAAAACCTAGTGTTCAAAGGAAAACCAGTAATTCTAGTCAGTATAGTTACAAAGGTCAAGCACAGAATGTAGGTCAAGGGCAAAGTGGAGGTCAAGGACATAATGGAGGTCAAGTGTATGCAAAGAATCCACCACCACCTCCACCAAGAACTTCAAGCTCTGCTTCAGCCTCTCAGATTTCTCAACAAGGTGACGCAACTCTCACGCCAAAGAAGCCGTCGCTCACACATTCGATGTCGGCATCATATTCAGCATATTATTATCCCTATAACCAAACACGACGGAAGACATGGTCTCCGGAAGGGTTCAGACAAGGCTACAATGTGGCCAGCATTAAGAGAAATCATAGATTACGTAGCTATAGTAACGAGCAACTGATAGAGTCAAACGTTGAAGTTCGTGACAGAGATCACATCTATGAAGAATTAGAGGCTGGACCACCTAAGTTAGCACCAATTAGTGGAATGTTGAATAGGGTGAGTAAATATTTTATTTTCAAAAGCAAAGCCATACCTTAAAAATGTTATCAATATCTGTAGCAACTAAAAGAAAAGAAATAAATTGTGCATCTTAACTTCTGAAACAGGTTGAATTATATGCAACAGTTAATTGCAACTTTTGCCATTTTAATTGAACCATTGGTAAAGCAGTCATACTGGTTTGGCAGTGTAAGGATGATATGCTCATTTCCCCTCCCTCTCAACATTTTTTTCTTACATTGCCCTTTGGATGGGAGTCTGGGACCCCTGGGGTTATAATTTGCATTTACAACTCATGGCCATCAAGGTCATCTTACTGTTATTATAATAGGAAGTTTTGTGGGACTATTACATAGCTTGTTCATTACACTAGTATCATTATATTGTTATATGTAATCTGGATCTGGTGAAATGGGGACTTTGATACTCCCTCCTCTTTATTTTTAAATGAAATTCAAATATTATTTAAGAGTACATTATTTCTATTAACATGATTTCTGAAATTTACAATTACATTAGAGGACAATATGTCTCAAATTTATTTCACCTTTCATTGCCTGTTTGGAAATTGTTTGTTTGCCTTAATATCAGTGATATTTGAAATTCTTACAAAAATATGAGAACATTATTTTATTTAATTTATTCATGATGTGTAAAGGTGTTTATTGCAACAGTTTATCTTAATCAATTCTTATGATCTCTGATTTTATGATTGCTGTACGTATATGATTAATAGTAAATTTGAAACATTTTTTTTTCTTTTTTGATATTTGTAATGAAAGGATATTTTTATTATAGCCCTAAGTAATTTAGATGGTTGTTAAAATGTTTTTAATAGTAAAATAAATTTTCTGGACCAGTTATTTTATTACAGGTATAACAGTTTTTGATGTTTGATCAAATAAGATGGTATAATCATATATATTTTAGTGTTACATGTACCAAGGTATATAGAAAAGATTGTAGCTTTAAAGGTTTTAAAGAGTTAAGAAAAAAGTTGTTCAGATAATTAAGAAGTGAAAAATTTGGTTATGGTATTTGAGTATTCTGTAATTACTTTCTTCCTAAAAGTATCAACTTAAAGTTTAATTGGATTCAGTATTAACACGAAGGACTTCATAATTTGTATTCCAAGGCAGTAAATATATTGCAGAAACAAATGTATTGTAATTTAAAGGTGAGGGGTGCGGCTTTTGACCTCCCTTTATGTATCCGCAAAGAATCTTTATATTTAGATTTCATTGCTGATGTCTTGTGGAATTAGGGCTTGTTATGATTAAGATACTATTATTATGTTTCAAAGTACAAACTGTTATTATGAACATTAAAGTGGAATAGTGTAGAATTTCGATTCTTACGTAATACAAAAACACCTAATACTAATAATGGTTAGATGGAAAAAGAAGATAAAATATTTGGGTTTTTTGAAGTTATTTTATAATACTGCATTGATTGTGATATATACCCTTGTAGGTAATATATGAAATAATGTGTAAAATATTTTACGTCTGTAAATGGTGGAAACCTGTATCAACTGATATCCTTCATGTATTACCTTTTATGTGTTGTTTATTTATAATTCTGACATAGCGACTTACCGAAACTTGGCAAATTTGGGATTTCACATATCCAACTTTTAACTGTTATACATATAGCTTCACATAGCACTACTGTATAAGATGGACAGAGATGGTCCAGAACCCTGCAAATATGGATTTTTCTTATCCAACCATCCTGAGTACAAACAAACTTTTCAGTTACATCTTGGTAAAATACATAGTGATAATAACTGCAATGGTTTGATCACAGTGAACAGTAATGCATGGTGTAGCTACATAACAGCTACATAAGGGTATTTTTTGATTTAGTATTTTCATACAGAAAGTACACTTATGGGGCATTTGAAGTTAGTTTTATCATTCAGTGTTTTCATACAGAAAGTACTCTTAGGGGCATTTGAATATAGTTTTTTTTTCAGAGGCATTTGAATTTAGTTTTTTAATACAGAAAGTACACTTAGGGGCATTGAATTTAGCTTTTTCAGGGGGATTTGAATTTAGTTTTTCAGGGGCATTTGAATTTAGTTTTTTCATACAGAAAGTACACATTTACTGTCATGCTTACAGATGACATGTCGCAAATACAAAAACGGTTGCTATAGACTTGTTCAGGTGAGCTTCCAGCACATTCTATATTGTATCTAGGGTTAGCGATTCACTCCTCACAATGTTTTCTTGTGTTATACACACACGCACACACTACAGGAATCTGGGATTGGTACTTCTATAGTGTTTTTTTTATACCACATAGTATACTGGTATATGGAGAGAAATATTTCACTGGAAGTTTCCTTCCTAACATATCTTCACGCACTTTGTGAAAGTTAGATACATGTATTGAGAAAATGTATGTACATTATTTTGCACTGACACGCAAAGTGATGGCCATTTTGTGACAAAATGCCTGAAAATCTAAATATATTGATTAATGATAACAAGCTGGCGAAATAGTACCATTGATGTTAAATGTATCAGTATCCCACCAGCAGTTCATCAATGCAATCTATATCTTTATACAGTGTACCAAATACTTTTGTTTAGTAAATATCGGATTTGTAGGTTGTATTTACCTTACCACCATGCAAGCTTGCAATATGGAGTGGCATCTGGGATTTTCCTCTGTGCATGGAGTGGCATCTGGGATTTTCCTCTGTGTATGGAGGGGCATCTGGGATGTTCCTCTATGCATGGGGTGATGTTTCTAAGCACATGAAATGCATCTGGAATTTTCCTCTGTGCATGGAGGGGCATCTGGGATGTTCCTCTGTGCATGGGGGATGTTTCTAAGCACATGAAATGCATCTGGATTTTCCTCTGTGCATGGAGGGGCATCTGGGATGTTCCTCTGTGCATGGGGGGATGTTTCTAAGCACATGAAATGCATCTGGAATTTTCCTCTGTGCATGGAAGGGCATCTGGGATGTTCCTCTGTGCATGGGGGGATGTTTCTAAGCACATGGAGTGCATCTGGGATTTTCCTCTGTGCATGGAGGGGCATCTGGGATGTTCCTCTGTGCATGAGGGGATGTTTCTAAGCACATGGAATGCATCTGGGATGTTCCTCTGTGCATGGAGGGGCATCTGGGATGTTCCTCTGTGCATGAGGGGATGTTTCTAAGCACATGGAATGCATCTGGGATGTTCCTCTGTGCATGGAGAGGCAACTGGGATAAATATCTTGAGATGTTGAAAATGACTGGATTAAAAATGTCGTTATTTTTCTACATACAAAATTTAAAATTTGAAAAAAAAGACAAGAGTACTAAAGATAGGTTAAAATGTACTCTACAGATCATGATTGATATGAGACTTAAGATCACATTAACTTTGCATTACTCAGCAGGGGAAATGAGAATGTCTAGGGCGAATTTTTATCTCACACTTTGATAAGCCTATTTGAATTCAAATCACTGTTAAGTTTGTCGAAAGATTAATATAAAAAATTTGTTGTTTTTTATTTTATAAATTTAGCAATTTAAAAAAAAGGAAGAAAAGAAATGATGACAAAAAACTACACACCATAAGAAAATTGTTTAAAGGTCAGGGTTCTACTTACCGGTAGATGCCTGCTTGACTGGTGTTACATTGGTGCCTGCTATAGTTCGAGACAATGCATAAACGGGGGATGTCCAAAATTCTTTCTCCTCCAGAAAAGCTGGAAATTTGACATAATTATGTCTGTTGCAGCCTTAAAAAAAATTTAAAAAAGAGAATTTGTTGTAATGTAAAGTAAATTTTAAGCTCTTCTAGTAGTAATGAAATTCATAATGGTTTGAGAAGCAACCATTCATCAGGATTGATCATAATCAGGTGTTCATCATGAAGCTAAAGGAATGTATTGTACACATCAGGACACTGTTGTAAATTATGCAATTAACATTTTAGGAATGGTGTGTGTATGGGTTTTTTTTGTAAAAAAAATAGCAATAACTGCCTTAATGGTAAGAAGTTATCAGAAATTCTGACGGATCATGTTCCCTAAACTTAGAATTATTATTAAATCTTTAAATTATAAGTTTTTGATTTGCTATGGAGACATTTCTTAATTTTAGGCTTGCGTCATATCATTAAAGTGCATAGATTCAAGGCCAGATTGTTGTTTTCTTTTTTTTGTTACAAAATGCAGCAGTAATGGAATTTTAATGGGTAAATAATCACAGAAAACGCACTGAATTTCATGTTAACAAAGGCTTTTAGATACTCCATTTAAATTGTGCAAAAACATATCATTAAAATTCAATTTAACATCTTTTTGCATGCAAAATGCACATTATTATCCAAGATAATTGCTGGTTGTACATCAGATGGGGGGGGGGGGGGGTTAATGTAATAAAGGGGAGTAACTCTAATGGAAATTTGATTTGCATGGAAACATGTTAGGAAGAGTTGTCTCTCTATAAACACTCTCTCTTTAAAAATAAGCATTATTTAATTCTGTGCATTTAAAAAGTTGGAAAATTGATTTGACTTTTTTTTTGGCATTTCATTAAAAAGAAAAGAAAAAACATCTTTTGAAGACAATTTAAGGTTTTAGTTGCTTTTAAAACAGTTCTAATAAAATTAATTTTGAAAACAATATTAGTGGTTTATGCCTGACCTGCAAGAGTATTGATAGTGATAACAAAATATAACTAAAGTAATGGTCAAACATACAAATTTAAATCCTGACATTTTAAATTTT